CTGGGCACACGCTTGTGCACCCTGCCGCTGCCAGCCTGCCCTGCCCGCTCCTGGCTCTGCCTGCACGCCCGTCTGGCAGAGACCCTCAGCCTCGGTGCCCTTTCCAGCCTCCCAGGAGGGATTTGGGGCAGGGAAAGCCACAGGACCAGCGGAACGAGCTCGTCAGAGATGTGTCCAGTGCCTGCCCTTGTCTGTAGCTGGTCTCAGTGAAGTGGGTGGGGGCTTTCTGCTCCCCTCAAGAGTATTTTAGATTTTAAAAAAAAACCAAACTTTTTTGGTGAAGCAGGAAGTGCTCTCGGCCTCTGGACAGCTCTGTGTAGTGGGAGGGTGAGGGGAGCCTTTGCTTGATCCAAGAAGTCGCTGATGTGCTTTATCCAGCCCCACCAGGAAAAGTCCAGCTCAGTTTGCCGAGGTGGTTTGAGGTGACCGTGATCCCCCCATGGCACCCAGGGGAGCCGGGGCAGGGGGGTCCTGGGTGACTCCGGGACGAGCAGCTGCCCATGGGTCTGCATTCAGTTCCGCTTTTCCTGGCTGTGCGTGAATGCCGGGGGGATGATGGGTGCCCGTGCCCCCGCGTGGCTGACACACACCATGTGCAGGAGGGACACGTGCAGAAAGGATGCGGCTCCGTGCAGAGCAGCGATGCACCGAGCGCAGAGGAGACCAGCCCCCTGTGCACGCGTGGCAGGAGGGGACACGGTCCTGTGCCGAGGGGACAAGCGCTGTGTGCAGAGGGGACACGGTCCTGTGCCGAGGGGACAAGCGCTGTGTGCAGAGGGGACACGGTCCTGTGCCGAGGGGACAAGCGCTGTGTGCAGAGGGGACAAGCGCTGTGTGCAGAGGGGACACGGTCCTGTGCCGAGGGGACAAGCGCTGTGTGCAGAGGGGACGCGCACCCAGCGCAGAGAGCAAACACAGCTGGAGCAGAGGTGACAGGCGCGTGTGCACAGGGGAAATAACGCCCTGCCCTCGGGGCAGAGGGAAAATGTACCAGCGCGAGGGGAAAATACAGAGTCATGAAATTGTTAGAAAGGTCGGAAAACCCCTCTAAGGGCATCAAGCTCAGCTGCTACCCCAGCACTGCCAAGCCCACCCCTAAACCAAGTGACACATCTACATGTTTTTAAGTCGCCCCGGGGGTGGTGACTCCTCTACTTTCCCGAGCAGCATGTTCCAGTGCTTGACAGCACTTTCAGTGATGCATTTTGACTAATATCCTGTCTAAAACCCCGGCACAGATACGAGATGCTGTGCTTGTGGGATGGGCACCCAGGGCGGAGGGTACAGGCGTCTGGTGTAGAGGGGACCCAGCGCACCCTGGGCAAGGGAACAGGGGCTCTGTCACTCGGTGTAGAGGGACGGGCACCCCCAGAGGGGACAGCACCGCTTGTCCCCGTGCAGAGGACCCGGGTCCCGCGCCAGGAGCGGCTCTCCCGGCTCTCCGCTCCCGGTGCCGCCGAGCCCTTCCGCAGGGATCTGCTGCCACCTGCCTGCCCGCAGCACCGCCGCCCGCCCGGCCCGGCCCCGCCTGCCCCCGCCGGGCTCTGCCCCTGCCCGGCCCCGGCCCCTCGGGACGGCGGCTCCCCGGGCCGCCCCGGAGGGCACCGGCGCCGGTCTCCGGGCGGACCTGGACTCTCCTCGCTCCGGGAAGATGCCCCGGGAGCCTGGAAGGGCTCAGGGAGGGCTGGGGTGGCACGGCCACCCTACCAGGGCACCCATCCCATGAGGTCACCCATCACGCCGGGACAAACGTCCCACCAAGGCATCTGACCCTCTGCGTGCTCTTGACAATTAGGAGAGGCTACAGCTGGTACAGAGGCTACAGCGCTGGCATGCTGCCTCTGGCCTGGGAACTGCTTTTTTACATGGGAAAATTTGGAAATAGAGACTGTATTAATGGGAAAATCTGTTGAGCTTTGAAGGTTTGATAGGCAATGTTTTGGAACAGTAGCAAGGTCCAGACAACATCTCTTACACAAGCAGGCTGTGGCCTTGTGGGTCCATGAAGTTCCCAGTTACCAGATTTTGCCCAACAAATCCCATGTCATTGGCAGTATCTGTTTTAGGGCCACCGTGTGTGCGCCCAAATACATCCTCAGTGAACCCCTATACACCCTCAGAACACCATTGTGTTCTGACACACATTGATGATGTGAGTACCTGCTGGCTGTGAGTTTGTTTGTTGTGTATTTGGTCTTAGGAGGCAAAATGGGCATGAATTCATTATCTTCATTTTACCTCCCACGGAATCAGCTCACAGACGGGGTTTGCCAGCAAGAGTCAGCGCTTACTGAGAAAGGAGAGGGGCAATAGGGGAACAACCCCATGCACGTTATTTCTGTCTGTATATCTCTAATTTCGCCGATTTCGGCGCGGCGCTCGCAGCGCGCGCAGGCGGGACGCGTCCTCGAACCCGCGGCCTCGGGAGGCAGCCGCCCCCGCTTCGGCCCGCGCCCCCCTCCGAGCGCCTCAATAAAGTTGTTCTCGCGAGGGGGCGGGAACCGGCACGCTGCGGAGCGCGGCAGCTGGGCCAATAGAAGCACGGGAAGCCGGGACGCGCGGCGGCTCGGCCAATGGGGGCGCGGGACAGGGCGAGCGGGCAGCCAATGGGGGTGCGCGGCGCGGGCACGGCGGGCGCGGCGGGCGGCGCGGAGCGCAGGTGAGGTGAGGGCGCCGTGCGGGCGGGCCGGGGTTCGGCGTCCTTCCGCCGCTTTGCCCCGCTCCTTCCCCGCCTCCGGTGCTCGCTGCCTGCTTCCCCCCCGCACCCGGAGCTCCCGGCAGCTCTCCCCCGCTATGGCTTCCCCCGTGGCCCGTGCAGGCCGCTGCGGCGGGCGGGGAGCGCCGCGGGCCGCCTCGTGGGCTGCCCGGAAGCTGCTGCTGTCCGTGACCCGCGCTGGGGCGGCGGCCGTGGGTGCGCGGGGAGCTCTCTGTGCTTCACAGCGGGGCTTTGTGCCGGGAGAAGGGGAGTTTAATGCCTGAGCGAGGTGCAGTGTTGGTGCTCAGGAAGCAGAAGCTGGTTGTCTGGGAGGGTTTCCGGAGATCGGGTTGGTTTGTGTGTGGTTCTGTTTCGAGTTCTGTGCGTGGGGGTTGTTCCTCCCCACCGCGGGTTTGCTGGTTGGTTCCTAGGAATTCATAGAATGTTAAGGGGTTGGAAGGGACTTCAAAGCTTATCGAGTTCCACCCCTGCTACCGTGGGCAGGGATACCTTCTGCTAGACCGGGTTGCTCAGGGCATTATCCAGCCTGGCGTGCTGAGCACTGTCAGGGCTGGGACAGTCACAGCCTCCCAGGGCAACGTGTGCCAAGCCTCACCACCCTCGCAGTAAAGAATTCCTTCCTGAATTCCCCCTCTTTCGGTGTTTATCTGTTACACCTTGTCCTGTCACTACAGTGCTGACAGAGTCCCACTCTGGTTTTGCTGTAGGAGCCCTTCAGATACTGGAAGACTTCAGGAGCAGTGAGTGGAAGGGTTGGAATTAAAGTGCAGGTGCAAAGAAAGGCTGCTTCTCTTCTGCAATTTGGTCGTGTTGGTCTGGGGACAGACACCCTGTGCAAGTTATTTCCCTGCTGAGTTGAGTGCTTAAAATAAAGGCTAAGTGTTTGGAAAAGAGGGAACCTGGTAATATGGCAAAACTGCCAGCTGAGTCAGATAATTCAGAGCAGTGGGGACTTGAGACCATTATGAGGAATTTATGGCAGATAAAAGGAAGTGTTGACAAATGTGTGCTAGTGTGTTTTGGTAGAAATCACTTCAAATGCCTACTCTTCAGGTCCACTTTAAATAATGAACAGGCTAGAGAGGTATCGTGCCCTTCCTTGTCCTTTCTTACAGTGCAGTAACCCAATGTTACTGCCTTTGAAACTTTGAAAAAAAAACATTTTTGTTCAACATAAGGGCTCTCTGGGACCATAAGAAGATTGTACTTTTTGCATATCTACCTACAAATGAGATGAAGAAGAAAATATGCAGGACTGAAAGCCTTTCTGTAGGAGGCAGAGGAGCATTAATAGATCAGTGGCAGAAGAAACAGTAGTATTGTTTCAAAGGTTGTGTGATCTATTCAGGATTTTCCTGCATCTGCCTTTTGTTGCAGGGGGAGCAGGCTGTTGTACCAGATGGGGTGCCAAATATAGCTTGAAGCTTTTAGGTATTTTTAAGGTGGCCTGTTGTGATTTTATCTGGGTTTAGTGTAGTTAGGGTATGGCAACTTTCCCTCTGTTAGGTTTGGTAAACATTATTGTGTTTTATGGGCAGGGGATGGTGTGCTGAAAATGTGCAGCAGATATTTGGGTTGTACAATTGTCCACCTGCTCTTTGATTATCATTTCTGTGTTTCTTAATCACTTCCCCTGTCTGTAGCATGGAGATTACGTTGCTGACTTGTTCTCTGAAGTGTCTGGATGTCTGCTTGTGCCATGTGAGAGCTGGGTGTTATTGCTGCTGCTCAGACAGAATTCCCCAGGTCTGCTAAATGGACCTTTTATTTATTCATGTTTAGCTTAGTAGACAGAAACTGCTCCACTCTCTGTAGCAGCCCAGGCTTGGAGCCTGTCAAAAACCCACTTTTTACCTCAGATCTTGGCTGTAGGGAGCAAAGCATTGCTGGCTTGTTCTTGCTGCTTGTGCTCTTGTGTTTTGTTTCCACAAGAAGCTGATCCTGACTCATCAGACTTGAGTCTCTTGAGCACTTTGAGGTGGGAGCCTCTTTGAGAAGCCAACACTTGATTTCTTCCTTTTTCTTTCCCGTTTTGAAGAATCTTTCTGCAACGTGTGGAATTCTTGCTTCATCAGCTACTCTGAATGTAGTGGGTGAAGCTTTCCTTCTCCTGTGACATCTTCCTTTCTTTTTCCCAGAGCACTGAAAAACGTATTTTTTTTACTGTTTCTCAAAGTTCTTTGTTTAGTTGACACAAACCCTGTCAATGTGTGAAGTACAGCAGATAGTTGCATATGCATTGGAGTATTTCAGCTTTGTGTATTTCTGAATCAAGTACAGTGAAATGTTCATCATGGTTGTATTTGGAGTAGAATAGCTACAGTTTTCTTCCGAAGATAGCATTGTAGTGCTCTTGAGGAGTTTTTAGTGGTTTTTAGGTAAGAAATAATCAACTATAATCAGTCTGAATAGATTTAAGAAACCTGTCATCTTTTTTGTTTTCTCTGTTTTCTTTGTTTTCTTAAACTTAGTCAGTTTGTACAATACATAGTGCTTATGTGTGGTTTTAAATGTTGGGAAAATTAAACTGGGGTTTAATGGAATTGTGGTCTAATGCAGCAACTTCTATTGATAAGTCATCAAAGTTGTTTTACAGAAGAGCTTTTTTAGTCCTGGCTTTTAGCCCAAGGTCAATCTGGTTTCACTGAAGTTGATAAAATTTCTGAAGTGTTTTCTTTCTCTTAAGTGTTGGTTGTTGCTCCTGCCCCAGCCAGACATGAAAATCTGCCATCACTGTGCTCGTTGCTGTGGAAGCAGTTTCCATCTTGCACAGCAGCATGAAGAGTCAGACTGCAGACTTTTGAATGCAGTAAATTCTGTCAGGGTGGAGACAAAGTTGTTTGTGCTGTTACGAATATATGAATATTCAGTCTAAATGTCTGAATTCTGTCACTTAGAAAAAGCTGTGTAGTGTTCACTCTCTGAGTTTTGAGATGTTGCTTCCAGTGCTTGGTTATAATCACAGGTACTTTAACTTGCTCCAAAATAACCAGTTTATTCCATATTTGCTGAATTGGATTCAGTCTCACAGAGTTGCTGCAATTGTTCTACACAGGCAAACATGTGACAGACCTCACATGGTATTAACAGGGTGTGTGCAGGTAAAAAATGCAGGTTTGGGTGCAGGTCTGTAGCAACTGATTTTTTTGTGCTTTTGGTTTCAGCAGTCTGAGAAGTTGGTGCTTCTTACACTCTCAGTTTATCTTGGTAATGAAAAGAGGAAGTGAACCAGATCACATCAAATCAAGCTGATGTCTGTGTTCTCACAGTCACTGCTCCTGGAGGATCTCATCAGTCTCTGAATGTGCAGGAGTGTGGCTGTTCTGGTCAGTGTCTGCCAGCAGAGGCTGTTCCTGGCAGGGGTGCATCTGAGTTACTGCAAGTAAACACTGGGAAGATGTTCTGTACTGCATTGCAGGGCATGAAACTGCTTATTTCCACCCTCCTCCTCCCTGTTCCACTCCATCTGGGTGGCACGCTGATCTGTTCAAACAGATCCGGTCTCTGCTATCTCACCTGATTAACAAGTCATTGTAAATACAATCATTCTCTCCCCTAGCTTGCCTGGAGTGTGTGGGGAGTGTTTGTGAAATTCTCCGTTCCTGGATGCTGCTGTTAGGGTTTGTCCTGGCACCCAGGCAGGAGGATTTCTCTCTCAAGCTGCATCTGTCTGAATGAATCAGCATGCAGTGCTTTTAAATCACTTGTCCAGACAGAAGAAAGCGCTGCTACTGCTGCTGGTAGTAGTACTTGGGAATGGTGGTGAGACTGAGAATGTGAGGAATGTTCAAATTCTACTGTAAAATTGCTTTGGTATGATTGAGGAGTATGAAGAAATACTTGAATTGCAGGCTATTGTTGATTTGTAAAAAACCCTGTTTTCTTTTTAGAGGGTTTCATTGAACCAGATAGTCTTCACTGATTTTACTTTTGAGTAAATGATGAACAGTTGGAGTTAATGCTTGACATCTGGTTTCTCTTATTTCATCCCAGGCCCTCTGGGTTTGGGTGCAAAAGCTGTGAGAGAGGGACTGTGCTGAAGATTTCCATCTCTGTAGTACCATTCAGCACCACAGATTTCTGTCATGTTCTGTGGCTTTACTGAGGTGCCTGTTGCTTATTGCTTGTAGCTGGTTTAGCTGCAGACCATGATTTGGTGTGTGAAATTGAGGTTTTGGGTTTCATATTTTGTTAATGTGGACACTGTTGTAGCTACATGTCTTTTTCCATAGTGATCCCAAGCACATGTGCTTTCATCCTTTCTGTAAAAATAACAGGCTCCATTCTGAATTTGGAACTGCATGATGCATTTAATGCATCTTCTGTTACATTGCCTTGTGCTTTAACTTCTTTAATTATTCTGTCACTGGGTCAGTGCAAGGAATTCTCACACTGGTAAAACTTCCTGCAGGCCTTGAATTTAGACACAAGTCTTCTAAACTGGAAGAACATGAACTTATTTCTTTTGGCTGGGGGTTAATGACATATGGAGCAACACATTTTAACAGCTAGCTAGTTATGGCTGTCTGTGTGCATCTATAGCTTGACTGTTTTGCTACTAATTTAACTTCATGTTTATGTGTGTTTTCAGCCCATGTGCACATGTATGCATCTTTCTTCATAATATATAAGAATATAGAATCATAGAATGGGAAGGAACCCCTAAGGATCACTGAGTCCAGTGCTCCAAGCAATCTGCTTATGTGTGTATGCAAGTAGTTAAATTAACACCAAATTCTTCACAGGGACTTCTCTGCTTTCACCCTCCTTTGTTTTAAGGCAAAATATGAACTGTGGTATGACATCTACATCCCACCTCTGACAGGTCCATAGACTAGTCTTGCAAGGGAAAGCTCTCTGAGACCACTTGAAAAGATTTCCTTGATGTTTAGTGCCTGGGGAGGATAGACAGTGTGTCTTATTTGAGAAGATCTGCTCTTGCTGGTCCGTCTGTGACCCCACAGGTGTAGAAACTTTATAGCTGAGCAAGAATTTTCCCTTTTCCCCTGAAGGTTTCCGCGTGTCTCGAGCGAGCCCTGCGGCCGAGATGGACACGGACGGCTTTGGAGAGCTGCTGCAGCAGGCAGAGCAGCTGGCAGCCGAGACCGAGGGCATCTCGGAGCTGCCGCACGTGGAGCGCAACCTGCAGGAGATCCAGCAGGCCGGGGAGCGGCTGCGCTCCCGCACGCTGACCCGCACCTCCCAGGAGACCGCGGACGTGAAGGCGTGAGTACGGAGTGCCACAGCGGCCTGGGAGCTGCCTCTGCCTTTGGTGTCCTGCTGGGAGAAGCAGCACAGCTGCAAAGCTTGTGCTTTGGTTTATTTCTTCCTGCCTTTCTCTTGTTTGTAAAAAGCAAGGGATAGTTGAAGGGTTTATCTGAGGAGCTGCTGTTCGTGGTTTTGGGCGTTAAAGCCAAGAAGTGCAGTACCTTCTTCTGGCTGCTGCTGGAGATGTTTACCAACACGGTGTACATTTTTTTCTGTTTGGAAGGACTTGGCATCTGTGCAGCACTGCAGTGGAACAGCAGAAAGACTTCAGCAGGGCTGAGGTGTTTACATAGACACATAGGGCTGTTCAAAGTTTGGATCTGTGCAGTTTTTTAAATGTCTGGGAGCACTGTCTGTACGTGGCAAGCTGACCTAAATATTGGCAATGAGTCTGGGTTTAGATTTCTGTCTGTTCAATACTAATTTCATATCTGTACAATTTCTTCCTTATAGATCGGTTCTTCTTGGGTCTAGAGGGCTTGATATATCCCACATTTCTCAGAGACTTGAGAGTCTAAGTGCAGCCACTACATTTGAGCCTCTTGAACCTGTGAAGGACACTGACATCCAGGTAGGGAAATTTCTGACATTTGAATTACACTGCCCTTGCCATTGCCATTCCTGTGTTGTGGTGCAGAGCTGTTCTAAGGCTTCTGTGGAAATTGTCTTGCTCTCTGTTTAATTCACTGGCTAGAGGAAATGAGGAGGGGAGATGCTGCTTTCAGTGCTGAAGGATGTTTGAGTTAACCACGAGAAGCAGCATTAAGTACCGAGATAACAGAAGTATTTTAAGTTCCAAGTTCTTGCTGAAGTCAAGAGGAGCTAGGTACATACTTACTCCCTTTGTGGACCTGTCTCTGTTGGCTTTGCAAGCCTAAATTGCACAGCGATACCTCTCTCATAGTTTTGAAACCTTTTTTATGTCTGATTGGAAAAACACATGGAACCACTTTTGAGGCAATTTTGAGGTGTTGGAATAGGGGGCATTTAACTGAACAATCAAAACAGGTGAGTATAGCTTTTTTTCTTTCACTGTATCACAGATGTCATAACCTTGTCTTGGTGATAGACTGAATTTGCTGTGGTTCAAGTGCTTTGCCAGATGATTTTATCTTGTAAAGTTTCCTGTAAATTTTCTCTGGGTGTCTTAGAAATTATCATGACCCATCTAGTTTTGCTTTCTGATCTTTGCCTGCCTGAAGTAGAATATCTTCATGATGAAACCTGCAATACTCATTACTCAGTTACGAGCTGGTTGTGGAATTGATGTTGTGGGTTGCATTGAAGGTAACAGTCTGAATTACTCGTTAATCATTTTGAAGCTCATATTTTCTCTCCTTTCTGGCAGAAGGCTCACTTATGAGGGTCAGAAGACTTGTGAGCTCTTCTTTCTTTTTTGCAGAAGTAGTATGCTAAACTACTTAACTTCAGGAGGGGAAGTGAGGCATGTGAAATTATCCCATTTTATCTAATGTATGTTTTAGCTTCACATTTGGTGCCATCCCTTTTGGGTGCAGGACCCTTAGCTGAATCTCATGCCAGTGTTAGGAGCCCTGTGGTCTCCTGTCTTATTTAACCCCAGTTTTCTAAGGCCTCTCTTTCACTCAAGATTAGTATTCTCTGGAGACTTTATATGTTGCCTGATCATAGAGTGAGAGCTCTAAACCACTGGCATTGTTCACTTTCTGTCTTTTCTCATTTTATCCCTTTGCCCCAATTTCTGATGTTGTTGTCTTTCTAACTGGTGATCTTAAACTTGCTACATGTCTTTCTTGACCTCATTCTGTCTAGATTTTTTTCAACAACTCTTGCCTCTTCTTCATTTTTTCTTTTTGTTTTGTTGTTTTTTGTTTTTTGTTTTTTGTTTTTTTTTTTACTAATGCTGTTAATTCTTTGATTTCTACAGTTTTTCCTTTCTGTTGTAAGAAGAATCTTATTGTAGATTCTCAAGCCCAGAAGCAGTACAGCACTTCACTCTTTGGAGCTGAGATTTGTGGCACATGAGAAAATGGTTATGATTGCATAATAATATTTTATATTATTGCTGATTACCTAACTAAAATATGAAGATTTTCTTATTCCTTAATTATACCAGATCTCAAGGCCTTGTTTGAAATGATGATTCTGGTGTATTCTGGTAGTGATCTTGGTATGTTTTCTTATCTCTAGTACCTTTTTTTAGTTGCCCTTGTCAATATTTGAATGTATTCTCCTGTTCAGGAAAAGCTCCAAATTTAACATAAAACCAGTGGTTAATTGCAAATCACTGTGTGTAGATGGCCAAATCAGCCAATGCAATTCAGTGCTTTCTTCAGGAAAACAGCTAAAAAGTACAAATGAGAAACAGGATTAAAATCAATCATTTAAATCAAAGTTCCATGTTTGCTGTGTTGAATCATGATTAACACTAGTGATTTAATCACTGAACACTTCAACTACTCATCTCTGAGGCCTAATAATTGTGTGCTTTGAATCTTACTTTTTTTTTTGCAGGGCATGTGCAGAAAATATTCATAGTCAACTAGCTAAAAGTGATTTGCAAGGGGAAGGATGGCAAGGGGCTCCACTTCAGATCATCTTGGAGGCACATGAGCCAAGTGTCAGTTTGAAATGTTTTGTCCCTGCTTGTTTTTGCAGTTAGTGGGTACAAGGATTTATGTCTGGCAGGACATCATCCTCTGCTCTGAGGATGTTTGCAGTCACATCTCAAGCTGTCTGGCTGGTGTCAGCTGTGGTCTGTACCTGAAAGTCACTTGCTTAGAATATGGACAAGTCTCTGTACCTATCTGTAGGTTCTGGTATGCAGTCATCAACTCTTTTAGAATAGTTTTTATTAAGTTTTGTTAGTTATACAAGAGGATCTTTGTGTTAGGCATTGCTGATAGTCCTCTAATTACCTCTGTTAATCAAGAAGGTCTTAAACTTATTTGATGCTTTAGATAAAGATGTGCTACAAAAGTTTCTTTTTCTATGTTACTTTCTTATACTTCCTGATGATTGTTGGGATTTCTTTTCCTTGTTCCTAGATAGTTTCTTAAGTCTTCTTCAGGTGTGTTGTGTTTATTTTGGGACAGATGAAGCAATCCCTGTGCACTGTGTAGAATCCTTCCTCCATAAGCTGTTCCCATTTTATCTGGTAGGCAGTGTGCAGAGGGATATAAGGGAGGGGTCTGCTTTATTTCTTTACAGGACTTTACTGTTCCTCTGCTGTTATTCAGTGTTTACATAGGTATACTGGTAAACTTTAATTCTGTGGATTGGGAAGGCTTGTTCTCTTCAAGGCCCTCAGCCTGTGCCTTCTGGCATTATCATTACTCTTTTTAACCAGCAAAAATTTCTCCACGTGTTCATAATGACTTGGTCCACACTTTATCATCAGTGTTGTTGGCTCAACTGTCCTTCCTCAGACCTGTCTTTTCCTGGTGCTCAACACAGACTCACAGCCCTGTGTATTTTGCAGCAAGTTTATTTGGCCTGAAATCCCATCTGAAACTTGTCATTTGTAGATTCTTTAACACTTCAATTAGTCTTGTGTGTGTGGTTCCTCATATCTGCCCCTTAATCTTCAGTTTGAGCACTTATCAATTCATAAACACTTTACAGCATCATTTGCCTAAGAGATTTTTTGGGGGTGAGCTCCTGAGACTGGGGTGTGTGCCCTCTTCCCTCTGGTGGTGGGGCTGCATTGGTGCAGCCTCTGTGCACCACTGCACAGGAGAGGGTGGTGGGTATGGGCACTTGTGCCAGGGGCACAGACCTAATGCTTAGCCTTTGCTGACTGTTGTGAAGGCTACAAATATAATTAAATCTTCATTGTATGAATTTTAGGGTTCTGCTGACTTTTAAATTCTAGTAAAGCTCTTACAGCATGAAAATACTCTTTAGACTTTCTGCCATGTGTTCCCACATCACTCCTTTGCATCTAGAGATTTCTCTGGCAGTTTGCTTGAGCTTTCCCTGCATTCTTACCTAAAGCATTCATTTATTGTCTCTGTTCCTCCTTCCATTGCAGTCTGTTCTAGCAGCCTGTGGGAGGCCAGCACAGAGAGATATGCTAGAATCTAATCTCTCAAATGATGGCAATCAGCACTGCAGAAGGAGAATGCCAGGAAATGCCCTGTTTCTTATGTGGAGAGTAAAACAGCAACAAAAATCAGAGGGGAGCATCCTAGGGCATGAAGTCCCAGGATGCTGGTGCAAGACATTCAGAAAGTGTTAAGAGAATCTAGGAATTCACCTTAATAGAAGTCTCAGCTTGGGTTAACAAGCAGGAGGGACTTTCTGTTCAGAACCTCTTTAAATGGTACTCTGTAGTGCTGACTAAAAAGTGCACCAAATTGCAGCTCAATTAATTATCTGAATTATTTATCAGTTGTAAAATGTAGATTGCTTGCACATAAAAGGGTTGTGAGTCCAGGAAATGTCTCCCACTAGAGCAGTAGGCCGGGAAGATTATGTAAAAGATTCTAGACTTGCCATTAAATTATAAGAATTTGTATTTTTCCTCTCTCTCTTTTCAAAGTTTGTTATTAAATTGCATGCAGAACAACAAGCACTTCTTGCAGTAAATCCATTTTACAATAATTCTTATGTCAGGAGTTTATAAAGATCAAGATTTTTCTAAATTGTCAAAATGCCCTATTTTGGCAAAATCTTTCCAAAACTGAATGTATAAGCCAAGTGCTTCTTGATCTCATAATTAGCATGTATTTATGTGCTTGGGTCTTTTTGTTTGCTTCTTTTTGGCGTTTAAAAATCCAAGGTAAGTCTTGATCATGCAAATCTGTATCACAAAGATGGGTTATGGGAATACAAACCTAACATTGCCATTCTGTTCAGAAAAGGTATTTCTTCACCCTTCCACAGATGCAAACTATGATGTCCTCTTCTGATGAGCACTGTCACAGCAGATCCTCTCTCAGGTTGGAGTAATGGCAGCCAGAGGAATTATTCCAAAACTGTGGGTGGGCTGTGCTCTTGTAACGTGTGAGGTGGGACCTGGCCCTGCACTTGTCCTGTTTGTTTTATGTGTGGGGGTCAGAGAGAGCTTCAGTGCTGCTCTTTCAAACTGATTTTTGGGGTTTAACTCCAGGAAGGAGTTAGTTGCTAGATCAAGGCCTGGTTTCTTCCTGCTAAGATCATTTGACTGTTACAATGTATATTATGCTTTACTGTCAGCTTTGTTTTTTGAACATGTCACTGGGCTTGATACTAGATTTGGTGCCCTCTATGTTTGTTTGGAAAAATAAAAGCCCAGAGTCATGGTGGTAATTTAAAAAAATGGTTTTGGTCTCATTTTTCTGGCTCAGTCCAGCTCTGTGCAGATTTGTGAAATGAATGCTAGAAGGAGACAGAAGCTCTCCTTGCATGCATTGCTTGTCTGCTTAGAAAGTTTGAGGTGAATGGCCAGCTCCTTTACACTGAAGGAAAATTTTGTTGAATTATCTCATTTGTACAAGTTTCACGTTGGCCTTCTGACCTAGGCACAGCTGAAATGAAAGGTTGCATACTAGGGTTTGGTCTTGATTTCTGGGTGTGGATATTCAGAGTATTGACTGAGTAGCTCTCTGG